GCATTCCATTCTTTCTATGGGAGTGTTGCAACTCTCTCTTTATAGGGCTCTGTGCAGGACTATCCAAGTACAAAGGGAGGAAATGTGGAGCTTTAAGCAGTGCTAAGAATTGTTGCAGTTGGGAGTTATTCAAATTAATACAGATGGTTATGAAATAAATTACAAAATAAATTCATGCATCAACAAATATCTAAAAAAAGTTTTCAGGTCCTCTGGACATTCAAAAAAAAAGAAAATTAGAAACGTTTCGTCTTTCATCCGAAAGACTTCTTCATTCTGAGGTGCTGTATTCTGCTCAATCTTATAAATAGCACATTCTTGTAGTGGATCAACCAGTTTGCTGCTAACAGGCATAACCAGCTGCTCACATGATCAAGGAGGACCATCAGCTTAGCAATGGATTGTTAGCACCCTGATGGCTGTTTGCTATTCACAGGGGGCTGAGTGATACAAGCAATAACAGCATTGTAAGAGGGAGACAGTTGAACACAGAAGCCTCCACCCCTGTTTAATGATGGGACAGTTTATTTTCGCATAGATGGCCTCCTTTACTCCTCTCTCAAACCATCGTTCCTCTCTATCGAGGATGTGAACATCTTCATTCCTGAACGAGTGATCTCTGGCCTGGAGATGAGTGTAGACCACAGAGTCCTGATGACTCCCAACTTGTGCTCCAGAGGGTGATGGGAGTCAAACTGCATCACCCTTTGGAGCACAAGAAAGGAGTCATCAGGACTTTGTACCACAGAGCAGACAGCGTCCCAACTAACTCAGGAGCCAGGCAGAAGGAGAAATCCCACACAAGACAGGCTCTAGAGCAATGTAGATATCCTAACTGGGCCTTCTTGAATGCAGAGAAGAAACCCAAACAGAACTCCAGCCAGCCATTAGGTGAAAAGGAGGAACCCATACCCAGACCAGTGGTCATTCTGTATGTTGCAGGAGTATCAGAGAAACTGAGACGTTTATTTTCTAAACACAACGTCCCAGTGGCTTTTAAACCTCAAAATACATTACGGCAAAGGCTGGTTTATCCCAAAGATCCAGTCCCCTGGCACAAACAGAGTAATATTGTGTATGCTGTTCAGTGTCAGGAGGGTGATCAGTCATACATCGGGGAAACTAAACAGCCACTGGCCAAAAGGATGGCCCGGCACAGAACAGCAACATCATCAGGCTAGGACTCTGAGGTCTACACTCATCTCCAGGCCAGAGGTCACTCTTTCAGGGATGAAGATGTTCACATCCTTGATAGAGGAATGATTGTTTTTGAGAGATGAGTAAAGGAGACCATCTTTGTGAAAATAAACTGTCCATCATTAAACAGGGGTGGAGGCCTCCGTGTTCAACAGTCCCCCTCTTACAATGCCGTTATTGCTAGTATCACTCAGCCCCCTGTGAATAGTAAACAGCCATCAGGGTGCTAATGATCCATTGTTAAGTTGACGGTCATCCTTGATCATGTGAACAGCTAGTTTTGGCTGTCAGCAGCAAACTGGTTGATCCATTACAAGAATGTGCTATTTATAAGACTGAGATGAAAATAGCACCTCAGACTGAAAAAGTCTTTCGGATGGAAGATGAAACGTTTCTACTTTTTTTCAGTTTTGTTTTTTGAATGTCCAGAGGACCAGACTTAACTTTTTTTAGATTTTTCTACCTGGATTATTGAGCATGCATCTTGGCATCAACAAATAGTTGCATGAGATCAGCTTGGAGTAATGTGTATCACTGAGATAATCTCACATGGGCCAAAAAAAAAGACTACCTTTATTCAGTTAAGGTTTAATAAAGAATTGATAATTTAAAATGGATTACATAGACCAGATGTCATCAAATTATACAGAGCAACGGTGATTAAACAGCCTTGGTGAACTCTGAAAAATATATACTACAAAATATGGATAAAATATAACATATTATCTTAAAATATATCTATTATTATTTATTAGATATTAAATAATTTATTTTAATAGTTTTATGATTTTCTTTATTTTCTTATTTTTAGTGTTTGAAACACCATTGTCTCGCTTTCCCGAGTGAGGTAGGCACAGGACATGTGCCAAGTCCTCACCACAGCCTTTTCCCTCTAAGGGGGGGGGGGGGAACTAATCCTGAGACTCAGGTATTACTTGCAGCTGATTTTCCAGGACAGTCTAGTTCAAGGCTGTGTTGAGATGATTCACCCAGACTGTTAACTACCTCCGATCCTTGCACCACACCCAAAGTCTCACCTTGTACCTCGCCCGACCTAGCAGCAGGAGTGGGGACGTTTAGCAGACGAGGAAGCGCAAGTTAACGGTAGCTCATCTCCTGATTTAGCGTTACAATTGTTAATCGATCTGGCTTTGTTTAGAGTCTAGGCACAAGACTCTCAGATGTTGTTTTATAATCAAAAGCTAATAAAACCGTTTAAAACCTCCCGTGCTTCTGTTGTTTCTCTGAACCAAGTTTCCACTTCCATGAACAAAGGGGTGTTGAAATAAGAATCCAGAATTTTACGTTTTGCTTTGCTTTAATCAATAATTTTTGCAGGGGAACAGCGGTTTGCACAATAACGATTACATTGGATTACAGAGAGATTACATGAGGAATAATATTCACTCCTTAGTCCCTTTCCAGTTGTTAACCTTTCCTGGGCAAGGTAGATTTCCGTCCCTGTGGATGGGCTTGAGGCTGGCTCTTGGACTCCTCTCTGCTCGACCTCGGATGTCTTTTAGTCCGGCCGGCCACGCCCTGTCTCACTCAGGAGCACCAGTATCCGTACAGTTTACCTACTCTCTCTACCTGACCCCATACGTTATTTCTCAATGCAATGACAATCTCGCTACAACTTTGAGCAATCAGATTTATAATATAATTAATCTTTCTATTTGTCAATACATGCCCTGCTGTTTTAATTTGGAATAAGGTTTTATTTAGGACTAATTTTGTGAAACGTCTTCTTACCATCTTTGATTTGACAAGAAGCAAATTTTCCCATCCTCTCGTGGATGTGGGCCATTTCTGGTCTTTTCCAGCGGGTCTGATTTTGAAGAAAAGGATTCAGGAATAATCCGGGCTGAAGGTAGATAAATAGCTCAAAACGAAGCGTATTCTAATGGATTTCACCCTTATTCTTCTTCAGCTAAGACCATCCAAAACTTATCCTATTAGTCCACAATCGTCCGTGGTCCAAACAGGTCCTGTTCGTTACCTCCTCACACGAATAGTGGTCCCCAACAACCCAGTTTTCACAGAAACATCTGTTTATATAGCCTGAGATTTTGACTGACATCTCCAGACCGATCATGCCATCGGGCAAACCCAACCTCTTCTGGGTTGGATTTAGGTCCGAATTTACAGGCTTCTATGAGGTTTTGCCAGTCACTCCTCATGCATATTAAAATCTGGGTGTACTTTGTTCAATTTTGCTTAGTCATTCTTGAGTTGTATCTTTCTGATTTGCTCAGAGCTGTTTCCAAGGCTTGCCATTGTGAAATACTTCTGCTTGTGTAACTTTTTCCACTCACACCTTCCTTCTAGAACATTCGTGAAAACACGGGGTCATTCCTTCACTTTTCAACATCATGAACATACTTAACCAGAATGCATTTTAAAATCACAAAGTTTACATTTCAAAATCACAAAGATTATAGTATCACTTGATTATCTACTTGTTTATTGATTATTATAAACACATCTTTCTCATTCACCTGAGAACTGGTAATTTTTATTAAAAAGAGAAGATATCGTTTGCTCTGCTGTTCTCTTCTCTGCGCGTGTGTTCGATCGGGACTGCAAGTGTGTATATCCGTGTAGTTGTATAAGTGTGTGTTGTATTCGTGAGTGTATATGCAGTGTGGGCTTCCAGCATCTGCTTTTGATCAGCTACTCCGGCCTCCTGCCTGCGTCTTAGGGAACAGACTGTTTTCCACCAAATGGCCTTCATTGACACCATTTTCAAATATTTTGCATAAGTGTGTCATCTTGTTATTTTCTGTTGTAAAAGCTCAGCTCTATTGTAAATGAGGTCACTACGTCAACCTACTCCTGAGTTTAAGGGTGCATTCACACTAGCCCTGTTTAGTCCGCTTTAATCGAACTCTAGCTCGTTTTCCTAGAAAGTCCGGTTTGTTTAGGGAGGTGTGAACGCGCCATCGAACTCTGTCATGGAACAAAAAGGCGAACTCTGGCCCAGGCTAAAACCTAGGTCTCGGTCCGGTAGAAGAGAACTCCAACGCGGTTCCAGTACAGTGTGAATGTAAACAGACCGACCCGCTCCGCAGGACAAACAAACACGCATTTCTCTTACCTTATATGGAGCTGTCAGCTTACCTTGTGTGAAAAACAATATTCTCCATGGTCTTCTGCTCACGCTAAGTCCATTTTTGAAAAATGACAAAATACAACTCCTAAAACTGCTAAAACTTGATGCCACTTCGTTTTTATTTTTATTTACAGAAGAAGAAGTGTCTTCAGAGGTTTTTGTATTGTTTCTTTCAGTAGTTCTTGGTGCAGCACCCCCACAGGCGAGCAGGGGAACAGGTTGGTTCAACAGGTTGACTCGACTGCACAGTGCAGTGTGAATGCAAACGCACCAGCTCAAATTTAAACAAAATGTCATAAATATTGGTCCCGAACCGAACCGAGTCTACTGGAGTATCAGGTGTGAAAACAACCTAAAATAAATTACTTGGATGTCTTACATTCTTTATGCAGCTTTGATTTGAAATATACTGCTTTTTTTAGGTTTACCTGACACATTAGGTGTATTTGCGCAAAGTATCTGTATCGATATTGCCAATACTAGCCAGGATTTTACCCGGTATCAGTATTGGACCAGAAATCCTGGTATTGAACAACACTACCAGCGATCATGTGGAAACATGAGTTTTGTTTTATTGATAGTTACACAAACCTTTGTCAGCACTTGTTGAACTGGGTGCTTTGTCTCATGTATGGTGACAGATAACTGCCATTTAGTTAAATCTCAAGCAGAGTTGAAAGAGTTCACTCACATGGCAGAAGATCATGGCCTGTGCAACAGTCAGGCTCCCATACAGATCACAGAGTGCTGCAAACTTCTCCTCCTTATCTCTGCAGAGCACATAAAACTGTTTGATGGTGTCCAGCGTCTCCTCCTCCCGTTTCAGCCTGATGACATTGGGGTCGGGAATAACCAGCTCTGCAAACTTCCACACAGAGTCCTCGAATGTTGCAGAGAGAAGCAACATCTGGCACTCTTTGCCCAGCTGCCTATGGTAGATCAATGACACCAATGTTACAACACCAGTCATCACAATTGGATTTTTCTGAAAGAAACCCACCGATGGATCCGAATGCTCTGGTCCCGATGGCCCTGAGTGGCAATCATCACATCTGCTTCGTCCAACACAAACATAGTAATCCTCTTGGGGTCAATGAGCCTGTACTTGGTGCACCAGTCGAGGACGGTGCCCGGCGTTCCAATGACGATCTGTTCCTGCAAATTAACGCCTCGTTCCACTGAACATACAGAAACAAGAAGCACAAACTACTGCACCTGACGGCTAAAAACACAGCTCTTTCAGTCTAACTCCCCTTACTTCTGTTTCCTCGAACTGCATATGCCAATTTCACATCAGGAAGAAACTTCCCCATTTGCTCAATCACTTGACCAATCTGCAGCGCAAGCTCATATGTTGGAGCGATACAAAGACACTAAAAAACAGATTTTCAGAGTCTGAATTTGGGACATCTGAAGACAGAAGAAACTCTGAAGTTATTCTGCTTACCTGAGTCCATTTATTGGCAGTGTTGACATGGCTGAGCATTGCCAGAGAGAAGGCAGCTGTTTTACCTGTGCCAGACTGTGACTGGGCGATCAGATTCTGAGGTCTAAAAGTGAGAGACATTAGAATTTTACTTTAATATCAGAAGCTTTTTTTTTAAACTGCCCCAGTGAAGATAAACAAATCAAGTCAGATCAGACTGATGAGCTGAGAGCTAGTCAGAGCTCAGCCTAAAACCAAAATAGATTTCTGATATGCTAAAACAGCTCTAAACGCCACAAATTCAAAGACCTGGCAGGAATATTATTTTATATATGCAAAAATGCAAAACTGTAATGTGAAATTTTAATGTAATGATTTAAACAAGATCATTTGCATGACAGTTGCAAGAGGCAGCTGAGGAGTACCAGAGGGCCAAGCGGTCCACAGCCTTGGCTGTTGCTGAGGTAAAAGCTCAGATGTGGGAGGAGTTCAGAGAGGCCTTGGATAAAGACGGTCAGCTCCAAAGAGATTCTGGCAAACCATCAGGCGGCTGAGGAGGGGAAAGCAACTCTTTACCAACACTATGTTCAGTGAAGGTGGGGTGCTGTTGACCTCAACCAGTTGTGTTGTCAGGAGGTGGAAGGAATGCTTCTCAGACCTTCTCAATCCCACTGTCACGTCTTCCATGTAGGAAGTGGCGTCAGGGAACTTAGGGATTGGTCTGTCCATAACCATAGCTGAGGTTGCTGAGGTAGTTAAAAAGCTCTGCGATGGCAGGGCTTCAGGGGTGGATGAGATTCACCTTGATTTCCTTAAGGCCCTGGATGTTGTGGGGCTGTCTTGGTTGACACACCTTTGCAACATCACGTGGACATCTGGGGCAGTACCACTGGATTGGCAGACTGGGTTGGTGGTTCCCCTCTTCAAAAAGGGGGACCTGAGGGTGTGCTCCAATTACAGGGGCATCACTCTCCTTAGCCTCCCTGGTAAGGTCTATTCAGGGGTACTGGAAAAGCGAGTCCAATCGTTGGTCCAACCTCAGACCCAGGAGGAACAATGTGGGTTCCATCCTGGCTGTGGAACACTGAATCAGCTCTTTACCCTCACTAGGGTCCTCAAGGGGCCATGGGAGTTTGCTCATCCTGTCTACATTTGTTTTGTGGACTTAGAGACGGTGTTTGACCGTGTTCCTCAAAGTACATTGTGGGGGGGTGCTCCTTGAGTATGGGATTGGGGGCCTGTTGTTATGAGCAGTTCGATCTTTATACAAGCGGTGCGAGAGTTTGGTTTGCATTGCCGGTAGTAAGTCGGGCCTCTTCAGGGTGGGAGTTGAACTTCACCAGGGCTGCCTGTTGTCATCGATTCTGTTTAAGGTTGCACTGACTACAATTTTCTGGCCGATCACCAATTTCTAAAAAGTCTGACCTGCCGATTCCAATTTTGGCCAATACCAATTTTGTTTTATAAGCGGCACTGTCAAGTGTTATAAGGTCACAATGCACCTTCAATTTTCCAATATTATTTTGTTGAAAAACATACCCTTGAACAATATCCTAGAAACAATACAAACTTGTTTTCCCTGGCCATGAGGTAGTGTTCTGAAATATAAATGAAGTTTAGACAATTGTTGTTAAAAAAAAAAAAGGTAAAATCAGTTTCTCAAGCATCAGCTGATTTACGATTTCCCAAAATTAAGGAAATCGGGGCCTATTTATCGGTGCACCCCTAATTCTGTTCATAACTTTTATGGACAGAATTTCTCAGTGCATCCAGGGGGTGGAGGGGGTCTGGTTTGGTGGCCTCAGGATTCCTTCTCTGCTCATTGCAGATGATGTGGTCCTGTTGGCGTCATTGTGCCGTGACCTCCAGCTCTCACTGGAGCGGTTCGAAGCCGAGTGTGAAGTGGCTGGGATGAGGATCATCCATCCATTATCTTTTACCGGCTTCTTCCATTTTGGGTCACGGGGGGTCACCGGTGCCCATGTCCAGCAATCACTCTGCAAGGGGCGGGGTACACCCTGGAAGAGTCGCAAGTCCATCCCAGAGCCACATAGAGACAAATAAGACAACCATTCACTCTCTCACTATCAACCTAACATGCATGTTTTTGGTCTGTGGGAGGAAACCGGAGTACCCGGAAAAACCCCATGCATGCACGGAGAGAACATGAAAACTCCACCCAGACAAGGCCCCCAGACCGAGATTTGAATTAGGGACCTGCTCGCTAAGAGGCAGCAGCTCCAAATCTGAGGCCATGGTCCTAAGTCGGAAAAGGGCGGATTGCTCTCTTTGTGTCAAGGGTGAGGTTTTGCCTCAAGTGAAGGAGTTCAAGTATCTCGGGTTTTGTTCACCATTGAGAGAAGAATGGAGCGCAAGATTGACAGGTGGATTGGTGCAGCGTCTGCAGTATTGCAGACTCGGCACATTGTAGTGAGAGGGAACTGAGCTGTAAGGCAAAGCTCTCTGTTTACAGGTCAGTCTACGTTCCTACCCTCACCTATGGCCACGAGCTCTGGGTAGTGACCGAAAGAAAGAGATTGCGGATACAGGCGGTTAAAATGAGTTTCTTCCGCAGAGTAGCTGGACTCTCCCTTAGAGATATGGTGAGAAATTTCGTCATCCGGGAGAGACTTGGGAGTAAAACTGCCGCTCCTCCACATCGAGGGGAGCCAGTTGAGGAGGTTCAAGCATCTGGTAAGGATGCTTCTTGGGCGCTTCCCTTGGGAGGTGCTTTGGACATGTCTGACTGGGAGGAGACCCCGGAACACAGTGGAGAAACTACATCTCTCAGTTGGCCTGGGAACACTTAAGAGTCCTCCCAGAAGAGCTGGCTGTAGAAAGAGATGTCTGGGCCTCACTGCTCAATCTGCTACCCCCTCCAAAAACAACCTCCACATCAATGAGAAGAAGTCGAAAGAGATGACTGTGGATTTCAGAAGGAGAAAGCACACCTAGCCCGCCTCTGAACATAGAAGCGGGCGGCTGTAGCTGAGTGGTTAAAGCAGTCATCCTCCAATATGAGAGTTGGGGGTTCGATTCCACCAGCAGTCACATGCCGAAGTGTCCCTGGGCAAAACACTGAACCCCTAAATGCCTCCGATGTGTGTCCCATCGGTGTATGAATGTGATAAAGCACTGATTATTCTTTGTACAGCTATAGTAGAGTGCTGTATGAATGGGTAAATGAGGACACAGATTGTAGTGTAAAGCGCTTTGAGTATCTTGATCAGATAGAAAAGTGCTATATAAATAAAGTCCATTTACCATTATAGAAGGATCTGCAGTGGAAGTGGCCTCCAGTTACAAGTACTTGGGTGTGCATCTTAAATGACAAGCTCAGCTGGGACAACAATACCAATCTGATCAAGAAAGCTCATCAGCGACAACAACAATACCAATCTGATCAAGAAAGCTCATCAGCGACTCCATTTCTTCAGACAACTGAGGCGAGCGGGACTAGGAAGCTCAGTTCTCACCTCCTTCTACAGGGGTGCAGTGGAGAGCATCCTGTGCTTCAGCATTAACATGTGGCATGGAGGCTACACAGCTGCGGAAAGAAAAGCTATGCAGTGTGGTGATGGCTGCACAGAAGACTGTTGGAGTCAGCCTCCCCACCATTACAGACATCTACACCGCTAGATGTAGGAAGAGGGCCACTTGCATCATGAAGGACCCCACTCACCCAGCACACACACTTTTTGCCCCGCTCCCCTCAGGCAGGAGTTTGCATAACGTTAAGCGGGGCGGACTGGGGAAATAATCCAGGCCAGGAATTTGATACCATCCCAGGCCACTAGCGCCCGATTAACGCAAACCACCAAGACTGAGTTAAGTTGAGCGCACTTTGAATGCATGCCGTCTGCACACGTCATCAAGGCCGGATTAACCATACGGGCAACTGGGCAACTGCCCAAGGACCCACGATCTCCAAGAAGCCCAGAGCAGTGAGGGCAAAAGCAAAATATCTGGTCCTCTCCTGGAGCCCTGCGCTGCAGAGACGGCTGCGCTGCCGCTCTATTTAGGTCGCCCCGCCTCCTCCCAGCGTCGGCTACTACAGCTCGTTTTTAATTTTTTTTTACCGAGTTGGATCCTCCACAGCGCGACCTGTCAATCAATCCAGTAGGCGTGTCAGCAACTGACCAATCGACGACCTCAATTTGCCCCGAAGGTAAACGCCCCTTACCTGCTGACAAGCCCGTCAGGTTTTTTTTTTCTAGAATTTTATTAACAACACAAAACAGAACAATGCAACAATATACAAATACAAACTCGCGAAGGATGTCATAACTACATTTCACAAAATAATGAAAGAGAGAAAAAAAAATATTTAATAAATAAAAAACAGCGGAGCGTGACACATGAAAAACTTGTTGTTTTAATTAAAACAATAAGTTGTATCTGTTGTGAGATGATTCTATCAGTTTTTTAATTTACTTAATGATGAATAGTATAACTTCAAATCATTCATAAAACAGGAAGGAGGGCTTATTATCATTATCTCTCCTCTTACTATAATGAATGTGGTACTTTGCTATAAGTACAGCTATATTTATGGCATCAGAGAAAGCTGAGCTTAAGTTATCCACATAAAGTAAAATGGCATCAGCATCAAAAGGAATGTTAAGTTTGAGATTAATCCAGTTTCTGATGTTTGACCAAAGATTTTGAATTGACATGAAAAAATAAAAAAAATTGCTCGAGGGATTCATCTTCTGATTTACAAAAGGCACACAAATCAAACTCAAATTTAAATCTTCTTTCAAGAAACATGGGTACAGGATATACCTTATTTATTATTTTAAAATGATCCTCCTTCACTTTAGGAGATTGAGGCAATTTGACAAATTTAGAATGAGCAGAAGTCATGGTTTTATGATTTATATTGGGGAGGTTTCTTGAAGGAATCTTTGGTAAATCCTTTGTTGTATACATTCATTGATAATCTTAATGCACTTGAAGTCAACTAAGTTACAGTTATTTAATTTTAATGTGGGCATCAAATCGTCACCTTTGAATATATAATATTTTTAATTCATTGAATCAGCTGTTGGTCAGACTACTTCTTGTTGTGCCATTAGCTCTATAAAATAGTTATTGAATCAAGTGTTTACTTGTGTAGGTAAA